TACAAGCCCTTTGGTTCCTCCCAGCCCCTGTACAAGTGGCCTGTGCTCCCACTGAGTGGTTCCTGTGAGACCTCGCATACTGCTGAGGACACTGGTCAGTTCATTAATGTACCAGCAGACATGCAGTGAGCGTTTCCTATGTTCCAGGCAATGACCTATGTTTTGGGGACACATTAGTGTGCAAAATGGGCATCCAGTCTTGCTTCCCTTGCACTTGTGTGTGTATGTGTGTGCGCATTCGTGTGTGTGTGTGTGTGTATGTGTGTGTGTGTGTGCGCATTCGTGTGTGTGTGTGTGTGTGTGTGTGTGTGTGTGTGACAGTGCACATGATCAATTACTAATAGAACAGGAGGAGATGAAGGCTATGGCAAAGCCAGAGCGGGACAGGGGCAGAGCTGCAGGGTGGGGACCATACATGGGGCATCAGCTGCGGCTTTGCTGAGCAGGTGGCATTTGAACAAGGACCCGAAGGGCATCCTTTTTGACTTAGCACCTGTGTTCATCCTAATGATCTGGGACGCATTTCTTCTTATAATTTTTTTGGGCTTAAAATAGATTTTTCATTTATTCAACAAATATTTGCTGAGGAGCTGCTTGCCTTCTGCCCGTTCTGTAGAGCTCGGCTCAAATGTCAGCTCCCGACGGAGGTGTTCCCTGAACACCTTCTCATTGTCTCCTGTTGTGATTCACGTTCTATTTTAAGATTAAAGATGGCTACTTACAGATTATAATGTTTTTTAATTTTTAAAAGTTGAAAAAGTTAACTTTTTAAAACAGATCGATTTCTCCTACTTTACTGTCCCAACAGTGTTTATCATTAGGTAGACTCAGCTCTCTTGTGTATCTACCTGCCGGGTCAGACAGGGCCCTCGTCGGCTTACACCAGTGAATCTTCGGGGCCCAGCGCATAATGAGTGCCGAACACACGGTGCTTCCTGCGTGGCCGTGTCAGATGCTGTGGCGACTGGTGCGTCTGGGGCTTTGGGCTTTGCAGGGTGCACATCCCAGCAGCTGGGGCAAATCAGTCTGCTGTGAGCAGCCTTTGTAGACGCACTCACCAGCCCGCTGGAGAACACAGCTCGAGCCTCCCCACTGATTGGGAGCTCTGAGTTCCCAGGGTGTGGACGACATTGCCCAGGTTGTCTCCCCGGCCTCTCCTGCACCTGGGTGAATTAAGCACACCCATGCTGAGCACCTCTGGGTTTCCAGGCACTGCGCCAGCTCTGCATTCAGAGCGGCGAGCGAAGGGCACACCTTTGTCCTCTGGGAGTTCACAGCCAGGGAAGCAGCCCCAGGCCGAGGCTCGGGCATCACCTGCCAGTCCTGCCCTGAGACATCCGTTTCTCGCCGTCACCGTTCAGCTTGAGGTTCTGGTCATTTTTCATATTAATACCCAGAAAAAACAAACCTGAGACAGAGATGTCCTCTCATGTTCCACTTCTGGGAAATCCTGTTTGGGGAGAGGGGGTGTTGCCCTCTCAGCTTGGTGGCTCAGAACCATCCAGGAGTGTGTGGGGAGGAAAATGATCTGTGTGGATGGTACAGCTTGCCGGAGGACAGCTCGAGCTGGCCGACTCTGCCTGTCTGTCTCTGGTTTTATTTCTCTCTCTCTCTCCCTCCGATAAAGTGACCGTCATTGCCGTCATGAGTGATATGCTCACACGTGACTGGGTGGGGTCTCTGGGGACAGGCTGCAGGGGACAAGCTGCTGGATGGGTCCCCAGTCTCTCTCCATGCTTCTTACTGACATGCCCGAACTGCAGCCACACTGTGTGCTCAAAATCCTTCTCAGCCCTGCCTCAGTGGTCCCCAGGGTCCCGGAGAGGGGGATCTGCCTTTGTCAGGTGAAGTTTCCATGGGAACTGGGGATTCCAGGATGCACCGTGTGGAACAAGGTCATGTGCTTTGGTGTGAGGATGCTGCACACCTGACCCCCTCAACACACACACACACACACACACACACACATGCAGGTACTATACACACGTCTCCACCTCCAGAAAATATGACTAACGAATATCTAACAGCTGAAACATCAGTCCTGATTCCCCAAAGGCATTTGTAATTATTAAACTGAGATAATCATAAAGCACTTTTCTAAATTTGAAAGGTTTATCTAGAGTAGATCAAAAGCAGGTAAAATTAATAGCTATGAACCCATTTCCATAGAAATCACTGATTAGCAAGCATTCCAGCTGCCCGAAGTAAAATATTTCCTTCCTGTGCTTTGAGGAAAAGTATAAAACAACAACAACAAAACTTTATGCATAGAAATGCCTCTGGGTAATTAATCTGTTCCATGCACTGCCTGACCGGGGTGCCTGGTCTAACTCACAGGCTACAGGGGAGAGGATGTGCACATGGTTCGCAGGGGCTGCCCGTCTGACTCAGACCCTCTGCTCTACCGAAGGCCCGGCCATTCCTTTGTACCTCAGGACCAGAGTGCAGGTTTAGCAGCACGAAACAGTGGGGACCAGACAGAGTTCTGCCCCATTCTTCTCACCAGACCTTCACCTTCTCAGCATCGGCTTCTCCAAGGTCTCTGAATGCTGAGAACCCAGGAGGTCCTGGAATTAGCCCCTTCGTTCTGGTTAAAAAACCCAAAGAGCAGCTGGAGGTTTGATCCCACAGGAGTGTGCCTTGTAGGAGGAGAGGAGCAGGCGGATGTGCCGGCAGAGCCATGAGCAGAGAGGAGGCTTTGGGCTCAGGTGGGGGACGATCACCTCAGTTTAAATGAATTTCACTTGAGGGTAAACAGGCACTTTTGGCTGGTGGCTGCGGTAGTTGATAGTACCGTACCTGAGCGGTTCTCAAAGCCTTTCCCACAGGGGGGAAAGGTTTGGGCGTGTCCAATTCCATATGGAGGCTAATGTCCAATTTGGGGTAGAATTTATTAAGTCAGATCAGTGCAGTGTAGTTTTGTCAACAGCATTGTTATATCTGGTTGTTGCCCCCGATACCTCTTGGCATATTAGGAGAGCATACAGTTTGGAGTTCCCCACTTCCGGTCTCCTAGCGGCAGATGCGAGGAGCTGTCCATGGTAGGAGAATTCCATGGGACAAGTGCCACAGCAGACAGCAAGTGCGGCCTCACGAAACGCTTTCCAGAGCGCAGGCCTTGCCCAGACCACAAAGGCAGGAAGGAGACCCCCTCTGTCTAGAGAGCCTCACGGTCCGGGATGGAGCAAGCTGGTCTGTGTGACTCCGGACTGGGGGCCTCTCTACCCAATTTCCCTGCTGTCGCATTCCTCGGTAGATGCCAGGAGCTGGAAACCTGTTGATGGACAGGAGCTGTGCAGTTCTGGCTGGATGGTCATCCGTTTCCACTTCCTTGTCAGGGCAACTGTCAGCCTGCAACTCCCAGGAGCCTTTCTGCACATTAAAACATGAAAAGTAACAAGTCCTTTTCACTTATATGTGCCCTGCTCACCTTCTCTTCCGTCTCCCCCAAACGCACAGTGAGGTAAGGTGTGAAGTAGGGCAGGTGGGATTTTCTTACGTACAGCTCATCCCACTTGGGGCCTATGAGATGAAGAATCAAGTGTGACCCCCTCTGCCACTCACAGTTCACACAGTGGATCTCAGTGTTTCTGAAGTCCTTTCTCATTATCAGACTCATGACGCTCCTTCAAGCCCATGACGTCACCACAGTCTCCACAAATTCCGTTAACTCTTTTTTTTTTGTACTGGGAATCAAACTCAGGACCTTGCACTTTCCATGTAGGCACTTGTGCCACTGAGCTGTATCCCCTGCCTTCCACAAATCCTGAATCTCAGCGAGATGGAATCATTGGTCCATAGACACACAGCTGAGAAGAAACGGAAAGGGCTGGAATCAGGACGGGTCTTGAGATTGGGGTGGTGCTGGGCTGGCTGGGGGGTTCCCCCTCTTCTGTGTGTGGCACTGGATTGCGATGTGGGCTGTGCAGGCTGGGAGGGGTCGCTGTGTGCGATGAGACCGGAGATGCAGTGCTGTCTGAGGTCCTCACGAGGAGCAGAGCAGGCTCTTTCCAGGGAGAAGGAGAGGGTGGTGTGGGTGCAGAGGACAGCTGTGAATTCGTTCTTTCCACACTGCACGAGCCTGGGTGAAGCTGGCAATCATCCTCTTGGCTGACGAGTAGGAACACAGCAATCTATTGCATTTTTGACATTCTGCTGAGTTATGTGCTTGAAGTTGGACTTTAATGTGTTTGTTTTCCAGACCAAACGGCTCCTTCCATGAGATCTTGCAAGTGGACTTTGCAGTCGACAACAGCAGCGACCTGGCTGGGGCCCAGCAGATCACCTGGCAGGTGGAGTACCCAGTTGAGGACTCCATGAGCGAGCTGGTCGTCTCCGAGATCTTCATCAGCCAGACCACCTTCGTGGGCATCGTCCCTCTTGCAATGGTGAGAAACTGGTTTTCAGTAGAGGTGTCATCAGGTAGGCTAAGCATGCACTGCACAGTGAGGGGAACACAGAATATTTGTCAGTCTACCATTTGCCAAGCACCTGACAAGGTTGTTTAACAGAGGGAAATATGCTTAAGTTATACTTCATTTACCTGCTTTCTCTAGCGACTCCCTGGAAACCGTTTAGAGCCTGCTGCGGAGCCCCTCTTAGGAGGGTGCTGCTGATGGTGTCCCGGGAGCCCTGTCCTGTGCTGGCTCTGTCTGTGGGTGCAGCGGGGCCGAGCACTGTGCTCTGGGAAGGGCTCCACTGAAAGGTCCTGGGACGTGCGGTGGGAACAGCTGCTCTCTATACCCAGGACCAGCCCCTTGACAGTCGGCATTGCCCTGAGAGTCCCCAGGGGCCTGGGATGGGCAAACCTTAAATGTGACAGATGGACCAAAACAGCCTTGCTGGGACCTGACCGGCTGAAGCTGGAAGGCTCCAGAGCCCATTAAACTGCTTGTGTTTTGCTTCCCTGGCCTGGGGGTGGTTGGATTCCCTCCTTCCAGCTTGGCTGAAACTGTCCACAACCAGACGTGGAGGCTACTCCTGATCACCAGGTCATGGAAGAGATGCAAAGCCTACAGAGGGCGCTTCTGGGTCTGGAGAGGGGGGCGACGCAGTGCTGCACACCCCTTCCACACTCAGCATGTTGTGCACTGCTGATCTGCCTGGGACTAAGATGTGGTATGGACCCCGGACAGCCTGGGGCCACCCATAGCTGCGTGTGCTCATCCATCACAAAGTTGGACACTAGCGATAGTTGAGACCCTCGCAGATGAAAGCTGATATCCAAAATTAATCCTGCCATCTCCATCGAATGTCCTCAAGTGCACTCTTTGCCTGCACCCTCGCCTATCGCGTCTGTCTCTCCACATCGGATTCCTCCCCTTTCACTCAGCCCTTAGAGAGGCATCTTCCTGGGTGACCCTGGCCCAAGGCTCACTCACCATCCCCTCTGTGATCATCATCCATTCACACCAGTGCCACGCTGTCTTCTCCCCAGCCACCGACACTGGCTGCTGTTTTAAGTTCGTTCTTTCCTGTTTTCCTCCCCAGAGGAGAGGCCCCCTGGGTCAGGCCGGGTCGGGCTTGTCCCCGTCTGTCTCTCCAGCACTTACTGCAGTGTGTGGCTCAGTGGGCCACTGCTGGTGGGGTGAATGAAGCCTGCGCTGTATCCCAGGTGTCCAGGGCCATCTAGGTTTGAAGATTAGACTGAGGGAGAGAATGTCCCAATCAGGAGTGAGCCACGTTTTGGTTTGGTGGCAGTGACAGTATGGCAGAAAAGCACCATGCTGTGAAGAGACAGAGATGGATGGCTGTGGCTTTCAGGGGAGGTGAGGCTCTCCTGTAGTCCTTTTCTCTCCAGCTCAACCGAGGTGAGGTGGAGTCCCATAACCTCCTCCCTCAGAATCCAGACCACTTTGCTCCATGTTTAGTTCTTTGCAGGTTGTGAAGCCTGCTGACCCCTGCAAGGGTGGAGTTTCACAGGAGACACTGTGCTATCTTTGCAGGCAGGCACGATTTCCTAGGGGAGCTGGGACAGGGCATGGACCAGAGGCAGCCCACAGCCCACATCTGGCCTGCTGCCTGTCTTTGTAAATAAAGTTTTATTGGAAGCACTGTCAGGTGACACAGCTGCTGATGCTTGTGTGACTATGAAGGGAAGGCAGAGGAAGCAGGCACATGGCCTGTGGCTACACGCAGGTCAGTCCTGGACACCTTGCTGCTGTGGTCCTTTCCCCAGCAGGGCCTTCCGTTCCTTGGTGTCCAGTGCAGAGAACAGTGGACAGACCTGCCCACTGTGTGCAGCTGGTGCAGGCACCAGTCCACATCACCCCACCCTGTCTGTCCCCACTTCCTCCCCCCAGCACCCTCAGCTCTCTCTTTTCTCTGGGGACGCTGGCTTAGTGGTGTCCATGTCTGTGACCTTCATCATCTCCCCGTCGGCTGATCTTCGCTTGGGGACGTTTGCTTGTGTTCACGTCAGTTACCACTGGCTGGAAGCTGCTGAGGTGGCTGGTGGGACGGGGTCGCATACAACTCTGTGTCTGTCTCATGGCTCACTGTGAAGAGAGGCTCTGAGGGGCCACCAAGGGACCGGAGGAGTTCTTTGCTTGAGATTCACGAGGGCTAAATGAGAGTGACAGGTACGCTGTCTTTGCGTGCTGGCCCGGCACAGTCTGTGCACTCAGTATTTCGCTCTTCTGTCCGCTTTGCTGTTGCCCTGTGAGCACACCGTATGTAAGTACATCTGGGTGAAGACAAGCGGAGGTTCACCAGCAGCACCCCGGGATGAGAGGGGCTCTGGCGGGCTGAGTCAGACTCGTCCACAAGAGACTTGGGTGGACACACAGTGGAGAGACAGGGAGAGAGAGAGAGGAAGAGAGGAGGGAGGGAGGGAGAGGAGAGAGTGTAAATCAGTCCATGGGTGTTGCTTGTTGGCAGCAGGGTCAAGGAGGACAGAGGAAGAGGGGCTGCTATGTCTCACCTCTATGGCGAGTAGACATCGGTGGGCGGCAGAGGAGGGGAGGGTATCGCAGGCACAGCAGCACTGTGCGTAGTGAGCAGAGCCAGGTGGTGTGGCTGCCCTTAGGGTGCAGGGGAGGCCACACAGGGCACGGGGAAGCAGCAGCCACACTGTCCTCCTGGGTTCATCCACTATGCTGGAATCCGAGGTCTCTGTTCTGGGATCGTCTTTATGCATTTGCTTGGATTGTTTATTGTGGATTACAAAGACTTTACTGGTCGCACAAACATGTATGAAGGTCAGGTGTGCTGTGGTTTGAATGTGTGCCCTTGGAACTCAGGTGGAAATCAATCCCATTGTGCCGGCGTCAGGGAGAGACTGAGAAGCTTGTCATGGGTGCTGCGCATGCTTGAAGGAAGAGCTGGAGGCAGCATGTGTAGGTGCTTTTGCCTTTGCACCCTTCCTGCCGAGGGAGGACATGGGGTCTGGGTCCCTCTGTGGGTGCAGCAGCAGGCACCGTCTTGTACCTAAGAGTCCAGACCCTTGCCAGGCAGAACCTAACAGCACCTGGTCTTGGATTTCTCCATGTGCAGAGCTGGGAGGAAAGACCTGTGTTCTTTATGAATTAGCTACTCTTGGGCCCTCTGTTAGAGCAGTACCATGGACAGACACCTGCAGTGTGTCAACCCTTGTACTACAGTGGTCACAGTGGGGTAGCATTACCAGCGACTAATTACCAATATTATCAACAAGGCAGACATGTCCTTATGAGGCTTGATGGGTCCCTCACCAGATTTGGACCTCGTGTCTCTGCTCTGTCAGGGCCTTCTTGGAACACAGCATTGTGATGGCATCAGAGGCCCTTCCGGCTCACTGAGAGCGTTCTGTGATTGTTTAGCCATGCCTGGTGTGAGTGGGGCAGGATGGAGGAAGTGCATATGCGATGACCCAGCCAGGCCAAGTTTTGGGAGTGCACATGAACTGAGAAAGGCATCAATTGAATGGAGCTGGTGAGCTGAGTACCAGCTCTGTCTGAGCGACCATTGAGGCCCTTCCAGTTTCTGGAACACAGTTTGAAATCTTCACCCGAGGCCCACGTAGATCCCTCAAGGATTTGGCCAATGTTTCTTAAACGCCAGACATGAATACATTAATGGAGCTTCCTCCATGACCTTACTTTACATCTATTTATATGTGTAAATATTTTTCTAACTTTCAATTTTATTTATATTTTTAGGCAAAATTTTCTATTAATAGTGTAGACAAGAAACCAGTCTCACTGGGTATAAATATGAAGATAAATTTAGGTGTATCCCCAAGTGCAGTGCGAATAAAGCAGTGTTCTGAAATGTTAGCTGGTCATTCTCATCTCTTGAAGACTTGTGATTTGGATCTAAAAAGTCTCCCCAAACTCTCACGTGCTCAGAGGTGGGGCCTGGGAAGGCGACAGGATCATGGGACAACATGCTCCTTGGTGGATCCATCATTGGTGAATTCTTAGGTGGATGCCCTGGTAGCAGGTGGGGTGTGGTTGGAGAAGGTGGGTCACCGGGCAGTGCTTCCGGTGGGTGTGTCTCTCCCTAGCCTGTCCTTGTCCCTCTGCTTCTGGCCCCCATGAGGGGAGCAGTTTTCCTCCACCCGCCCCTCCGCCATGACACTTCTTCCTGGGAGCCAGGCAAGTGTGTCCGAAACCATGAGGTGAAACAAAGCTTTCCTCCTTTAAGTTGCCTATGTCGGACATTTCATCTCAGTGATGCAAAGCTGACTAACACAAGACTGATCTGAAATGTTCCTCTTTATCTCATTCCTGTGAGAGAACAGGAGTGGTAAAAAGATATTAATGATGCAAGTATTGGCCGAGTCCTTCTTGAAAATCTTGGCTGGCTTCAGGAAGATGGAGAGAGACTTGGAATGCAGGCTCTCCCTGGCTCTGTGGCACCAGGTCCCCGCGGCATCTGCAGCCCTCCTCGTGCACAGTATGCATGCTGAGAAGCCATGGACACTGGCTCAGGTCCCAGCAGCTGCTGTGGACTGACTCCCCCCTCCCCCCCAATGGCCTCTGTAGGCAGAGTGGCTGTGCTGGCGTCTCCTCAGCCTCTGGCCATTTCTGTGCCATGCTCCCTCTCCAGCGTCCTTGCTAACAGGACCTCAGTGTGGTCTTTTTCTTCTGCATGACCACATCCATCTTTCTGCTGGGGCAGGGGCCCCCCTGTGGCCCAGGTTGGGCTCATCCCTCCATGGTGGTGTTGTCCCCTTCTCCTGTGATTGTTGTGGGGATGACAGGCTTATGGTGTCTTTCTGTTCAATTAAATCCAAGGGGAGGGGCCTGGGGTGGGAAAGAATTTCTGACAATTGAAAAGGACAGCTCAAAAGAGGGTGTTTCTGCTTCCTGTCCTTGGCATGATGTGGAAGGGGATGGAGCCACTGTCCCCAAAGATGAGCTGTGAGCACTCTGAGGATAAAGAGCTGGGGTCCTCAATGACTCCG